GCTTTGGAGTTTTTTTTCACCCCTCGTTTTTTTCATTTTCATTTTGCTTAACGGACTTCTAATCTCAAAAACTATGCATTGCACTTTGTGCAGATTTTGCCTACATCGTCTAAAATTTGCATGTAAATTTATTTTTACTTGTTTTGATGGGACCCCGACGGGTCTTTAATAAAAATAATTGAATTGAATTGAATCAGCAGCTTGAAATGGACCGAGACAGCCAGAAGCTTCAAATGCGCCAAGATATTGCCGTCATTGAAACCGTCGCCTTTTCCGTCGAAGAAGTCAGACGAGTCCTCAGTCAAATAAAACCTGATAAGTCTCCTGGACCCGATGGAATTCCCAAACTAATACTTAAGGAGCTATCAACGGAGCTGTCAAAGCCTATTTCGACTCTCTTGGAGCTGTCAATGAGAACAGGAAGGCTGCCCTCACAGTAGAAGACAGCTAACCTCGTTCCATTGCATAAGGGAGGTAGCAGGATGACAGCAAGCAGCTTTAGGCCTATTAGCTTAACTTGCCTCCCATGCAAAACGATGGAAGCTATAGTAAAGAGCGCTATACAGCAGTTTTGTGAAGAAAATAGCATCTTGCAGGATTTTCAACATGGCTTCCGGAGAGGACGTTCTTGCCTCTCAAATCTGCTAGCTTGTCTGGAGATCTGGACCAGGGCTCTAGAAGAGGGTTTTGAGGTGGAAGTCGTATACATCGATTTCCGCAAAGCTTTTGACACTGTCCCGCACCAACGTCTTCTTCACAAATTGAGCGACATCGGCATCCGGGGAGATCTTCTGAACTGGATTAGGGTGTTTCTGGTTGGTCGGAAACAACGTGTCTGTGTCGGGGATGATATGTCAGAATGGGTGAACGTGACCAGTGGTGTGCCTCAAGGCTCAGTTCTGGGACCATTGCTCTTCATCCTTTACGTTAACGACAGTCTTCAGGAACTCGACTGCGGCAAAATAATGTTTGCAGACGATGTTAAGCTCTGGCAAGTCATTAAGGGACCGAATGATCAGAGATCGCTTCAAGATAATCTGCACCGACAGCAAGCGTGGTCGAAGAAATGGCTTCTAGATTTCAATGTGGAGAAGTGTGCCGTCCTTCATCTGCGTCCAACCAACTCTCATTCAAATGGGAGCCTGAGGACATATCACCTGAAACATATAAGGCTCCCCGCAGAATCTTCACAGAAGGATCTCGGGGTTTGGATACAGAACAATCTGAAACCAACATTACAGTGCCACAAGGCTGCAAAAAACGTCATGGGATTGCTCCATGCAATAAAAAGGGCTTTCGTTAACTTTGACCAAGACCTTTTTGGGAGAGTTTACGGCACTTTTGTTTGGCCCCACTTAGGATATGGCATAAAAGCATGGCGGCCATGGCTAGTAAATCACCAAGCATGCCTCGAACGGGTACAACGGCGTGCAACAAAGCTGGTAAACGGTCTAAAAGGCCAATCCTACACAGACAGACTGAATTGCCTTAATTTATTCCCTCTGTGTTACAGGCAGCAAAGAGGTGATCTTATCCTCGTCTACAAGATAATACATGGCCTTGAGCATGGACTTAAATTTGAGGACATGTTTCGGTGGCACCTTTCACCCAATATTCGTGATCACTCGATGAAGTTACGGACAATAATGTCCAGGCTGAATCTTCGTTCTGAATTTTTCACGCAGAGGGTAGTGGAGAAATGGAACGATCTCCCTCAGTCAGTCGTGGAGGCGACGTCTCTGCAACTCTTCAAGAAACGCTTGGATGATTATTTGTGTCCCCTGTTTTCCCTCGACAGTCGGAATCTGAACTAAGACCCCACGTCCCCAAAAATATTTTCTCGAAGACAATGTTACTCAAATGAATTAGGTATTGTTTTAATAGCGAATAATTTTGTTTGTGTACAGTTATTTCTATCGAGCTGACATGCAATCAGTAGGATTTTCAAAGGCTTTGCCTATTATCCTTACCAAATAAACTGAAATAAACTGAAATGGAAACTCGTGATCCTCTGTGTTACACGTCTCGAACAAAGCACGTTCTCTCAATCGGTAAGTCCCTTTTCAGTTCCATCGGTCATCCGCGGCGTTTCAAACCCTCCGGTTGAGAGAAGTCCGCCTGAAAAACTTCCTTGTGAGTGTTTGGAGGAGAGGTTTCTGCAGAAAGAAGTAGCCTGACGTCTTCTTGGTTGCACCAAAAAATTTTTATAGGCATCGGTCGCACAGCATCTGACTTTTCGTTAAATGTTTTCCCCGTGTTCAAAGGAGACTGACAGCGTCCAAGAGGTGCTACAATAAACCTATTCTATTTTGAAGCTGCGCGAACGGCTACTTCCCCGTAAGAGCAAATAATGCTGTTCGGCAAATGCTGATAGTGATTAACATTGGTAGAGATCCCATCCTCTAACGCAAGTTCACTCACCTTATTCAAGCCCTGAACGGCTGCACAGAATGCGTGGTGAATAGGCTATTTTATTCTACTTGCGGCCACGTCGTCGACTGGTCGACTAAAGGCCACGAGGGATACACCGGAGTTTGTTTCGACACCAAAATCCTGTTGTGGCGTTTTTCCGTTCTCTCTAACCACGCGTTCTCTTCTTAAAATTGAATAAAATGCCCTATTAAACGCTCAGTGTAGCTATCAGAACTTGGTGACAATGGTAGACGGAGTGGCCCAGTTATTCAAGTGGACTCCCGTCAGTCACGTTTATTTCGAAAAAAATGTAATTTACGGCCGGCCTAACGTAATAAATTTACTATAAATGAGAAACATAAAGTAACGTCCTAAGGTGAAAAAATCAAGGAAAGATTCGAACACTGTATAGTTAAGTTTTCTTTTCAGACAATAGACGTTGCAAATGCTTCAAAGAGCCTAAATATGACGTGGGCGAGATGCCGATTCTATAAAAGAGTGTACGGAGACATCTAAAGGAGACCAAGATGACATTTTATAGACCAGCCCCCGTCATCAGCAGTCATACCCAACTTCAGTTCTAGATGACATGAGACTCGAATACAGGTTCCATTTTGACTGAGCGTTAAGTAGTCCAACGACATATTGGTGGCCGTGCAGCTGACTTTATCGCTTTAGATTTAGACCTCAGGCAAAATGTGACGAGCACGTTCTGTAAACCATAAATACTAATCATCCAAACTCTCACGTCAATGTTTTGATGAAGATGTTTAAATAATCTGTTTCTTGCTTCCAGTTTTTAAATGTCGCAGCAGATGGGTTCCAATATCCCTTTTAAGAATGACGGGAGCTTTTTGGAATTATTTAAGCAAATGCAAGGTACTCAGCTAACGGTGTTCATTTTTCGGTCTTAGCGGAGCAAGAACGTGTTAATATTGAGTCAGTGTCTCAGAGTATGCCTGTGGTAATTTAACATACCCATATCAAACTTTTTTCTACAGGTCAAAAGTGAGCGGCGATCTGAAGCAGAACAGTAAGTTGGTTGTCTATGATTATCTTTTTAGAATGCCTCCTGAAGATGATTTGCCATCAGGTAGCGAAATTAGTTGATGCGTTGCTACTCAATCTGCACCATTGCCTGAGTTTACACATGTCTTTCCAGTTCCTCCTCCTGATAATCAGCAGGTCCTAATCGCTATCGAAAGTCTTGTTATGAGAGTCGCGGGTCTAACTCCAGAGCTGGGAAGGATGGAAATTGCAAAATTTGAGGACAGTATACAATACTGGTTCGTTTTCTCGACCCATGCTTATTTTTTTAGGTTTCTGACCCTTCCTGAGACAGATGAGTACAAATTTTTCCAGAAGCGGCTTCTTGAAGTAAGGAAAAAACGCAAGCCGCAGTCAAAAAAATGTATGTCTTCCCGTCTGCGTGCGTGCGCATTTATGAATTCTCAAGCTACCCTGATACTAACTGGCGCTAAATTTTTTGGGAGTCTATCTCTCATTTCCTTTAACATTTCGTTATAACCCCCCGAACTCCTGTACATCTTTCACGCAGGCTTTTTAAGGTGCCTTTTCCTATTCCTTATGTGGATGACATTTTTTTTCATTCTATTCGGTTTCTGAAAACAAGACATCGATTTAGTGCTGCTTGATCTCTACGAGCACAAATTGAACTCTAATATTCTAAAGGGCTTATTTCGCCAGCACCATGTACCCCCCAAAATTATTCGCAGCCTCTAGGACGACTCTATAGTGGCCGCGTCCCTCGTCTATATAGAAGTGCTAACTTTCAAAGAGCATTATTTATCCTTGTACAGAACACTACATGAACGGACAGAGCATCATTTCTTTTATATTTGGTGCCGTCCGCGCCCTTCAGGAGTCTTTTCCTCATGAAAGCCACCTAAGTTAGGCTTTGCCGTCGGTTGCATTTGAACGACTAGTTTTAACCGAAGCAATACTGACTGTTATTTTGCTTGTTCTTCTGGCCTTGTTTCGGACTGCCGACTCATTTCTCTCGTTATTTTTCAGGTTTCCCGGACGCATCTACGGTACCGTACAGTCTTAGCGATATCAAGTTGCCACCTGAGAAACCACCGCCTTCCTCTTTTCGGGGCTCTCGCACCTGCCTTCTGCCGACTCCTACTGCTCAGCTTCAGGACGAGCCTTCATCTATAAAAGTTGCAAAAACGGAACCACCGTCAGATAACCCTGCTCTTGCTGTCGAGACAAAAGGAACAGAACCGTTGTTAACCACTCCCAGACGTATCTTGCTTCCTACTGAAATTAAACCTGAGCCGACTGAAGACAAACCGTCTCAGTCCGAAGCCTCCCGCTCTCAGAAGCGAAAGTCACGTTGGGATACCGAGCCGTCGGGAAAAATGGATGCGCCCGAGCCATTAACTGAACAAACAGTACTTGCGGACGCTATAGCAGCTGCAAAAAGAGCTGCAGAATTGGCCGCTGCTTCTAGAGCAAACTCATCAGGCGAGTGCCGCCTAAGACATTTTGTAATTGCTTCATGCACATGGGTGGCCTTCCCATTGTGTGCTAAACACTTCTGCCAGAGCAATAGAGCTTTAAACTTACGTTTTCTCTAAATCCTGTACTGGTGCTTGTTACCCCGTTCTACCATAGACTTTATTTATAAAATCGACCTGCCCCAGTTATGATTGTATCTTTAGCCGCCACACTGCCGCCATTACTGTTGTTGTGATTAATGCTGTGTTGGCTTATAAAGCATTCCGTCCCAATGTTCCACCCTTATTAGAGCTGGTCAGGTAGCGCCCTGGTTCTTTAGCTGTCGAAATTTACGATTTCCAAAGCCATAATTGGCTATTCTAGCGTACTACTTCTGAAGTATAAACTGTAATAATTGTTACTGTGCCGTTACTTACCCACAATGCAGAACCGATGCGGTTTTCGAACTGCGCGTGGCTGCATAAGTACTTCTCACTTTGGGTGCTCAAATGCCGCCGTTGTTACCACTAAACTCCCTCTTGATTAGTAACTTTTGTTCAGAAGACGAAGATGCGATCACCGGAACAAGAAATTTATTGGCCTGACGTTTCGGATTCTCACTCGAACCCATCATCAGAGTCAGTCGCAGATAAGGGATTCGAGTAAGAATATAAAACGTCAGGCCAGTAAATTTCTCGTTCCAGTGATCGCATCTTCGTCTTCTGAACTGCATCCTGGAACTCGCCTGTTCGCTTCTGTCAGTAACTTTTGTCTCAGCCTATGACTCCGTCCACCGACTCCATGATCGATCATACCGCGTCGCGACGTGGCATATAAACTGTTCCGTTTGATAAAAACCTACAAGCGCAGAGAAAGTAATTTTAAGAGTAGGAACTTGCGTGCTACCTAATATGCTATTCGTCCTCAATATCTTAATCGTGCCAATTTCGCAAGGAAGGATTTTTGCTCAGTAAAAAATAGCGCCCCAAAGTCGAAAGAAGGCACCTTTGTCATTGTCGTTTGTTTGGAAGCGCCTTTGGTTGAATAAAGGAAAAACTATAGTTGTATAGATGACGTACAAAGGTTCTTTCCCACACGATAAAGCCCTTCTGTCTTCTCCCTTTTGCAGCTTGAGTGGGTTGAGTACCTACACAGGTTGTAGGTGTAATGCCGAAGATCATATTCCAATAAATGCTGGTGATAAGACATTTCCTACAATCATGATAATGGAAAACGAAACACTTGTGACTTCGCTTCGCAAGTAACTTTATGTTTTCGTTTCATACTGTATAATACATATGTAGTTCTCATTTCATGAATGTTTATACTTTTCCCTGTGTCTTGTCTAATTTAAACCTGTCACTGTATTCGAAGTTCGGACTTCTAGCAAAATATCAACTAACGGTACAAACTCCTTTTTGTTAAGTTCAAGCGATTCGCAAGTGTTCTCAGTATATAAACGTCGAAACTCAAAATTTAGCATCAAGGCCGTCCGATTAGATAGCACTCATGTTTTTACCTGGGACAATTTCCTACTCACGCTCCCTGATCGTTTCATTCTGACGTAAGAAAACGGGGAAGCACGGTTGCGATGAATGTTTACATCTAGTGTAATATTTCGCACGCGGGTAACAGCGCTTTTTTCAATTTTAGGCCTTCCTATCACACAAAATCCCAATGCCCTTCAAGCCAAACAATTCACTGGCGGGTCGGCACTGAGCGCGGACCAGGCATATCAAATCCAGTACCAGAAGGAGGTAAATTAATGCAAAGAAACACGGAACCGTCTAACTGACAAGTAGTCCAGACTCTTGACATATCCCAGCACTCGAGCGTGTTTCGTTAGGCCGACTTAATTCTTGACTTAAAAGTTTCAGTGGGTGGCGAGACCCATGAAGTTTCCGAAACTTCACGGAAGATGGCCAATAGCTCGGGAACTGTTGTCGGTCCGGAGTCGACTTGTGGATTGCAGGAGAAAATTGATGTCGAGATTATTTCTGAACTAGTTTCGCAACCCCTGCTTGCTTCCGCACCTTATTCTATTTTAAATACGCCATGGAGTAGTCGTTTAGAAACTAGAAGACTTCTCGAACCACTTGCACAGTATCTTTCTGTTTCTGGACTACTGCTAATCCGGCCAAAAAAGTCTAGCATAACTTACAGCCATCATCTAGTGGCCTCGCACACCGTAACAAGGTTATTTCTAGAAAACGCGTCTGTGATTAGGAACTGCCGGTATAGCAAAACGGCAGTTTGCCTACGGATCTAATACTTAAGTATAGGTCGAGCTATTTCGCATACAAACTTGCAAGTTGGAGTTTTTACTGCGAAAACATCACTACCGCGTTTGTAAACAAGTGCGTCAAGGAGTTTGTCCGGTATGATTTACGCAGGCATAAGAATCAATTTTAAGGTCCGCAAAACAATCTCAATAATTACTAGTCTAGAAGACCACCTGAAGTTGCAATTACTTATTTCATCGAAATTTGCTCTGTTTTACCTAAATAAAACGAAGGTATCGTAGGACAGAAATCCCCACTCATCGTCATATGCAAAGTGCTCTCCAACTGACTGTATGGGTATCCGTTACCATATTAAATCTACTTTGACACTCACAGTATCTAACAATTTGCATTGAGAGCAGTAGGAGGGGGGGGGGGGTAATTCCTGAATCATGGCGTTGCCTTTTTAGACATGATACCGCACCAATTAATTGTACGCAAAGGAAATCGATCTCGCTAAGATGCCACGAGGCCTAGAGCTTGGTACAGCAATTATAAATGTTTTGTCGCGCACGAACAAGGGTTCGCACTAAACTCACAGGTGCCTCGTTTGTGTTACCTCCCTAATGGGTTGGCCTACTCTCCTTTTCGTCGGCCTACTTGGGAAGTCGGATTAAATGACGACGAAAGTCACCTCTTTCTCAAGAGTGTTAGTCGACAAGTCTCGTTGGTGATAATAATACTCATTGGGATAAACCGTCAGGCTTGATTTTCAGTGGTTTATGCTTGGTCAGGATACAGTCCTCTTCATTTTAAATCACACACGAAGGGGCAGGTTTCCAAAATCATTTCTTCTTTGTCGACCGCATCCCCCCTCTCTATAGATTACCCCTCCTAAGTATATTCACTGCTTGCCATTCTCAAGCCTCAGTCTGGACGGGGCTCCTTCTTCCCGACCGAACCTGTCTGTCTCGCCTGCTTCTGTGCGCCCCTCGCTGTGCCAGACCAAGTCAGCATAGTAGGCAGTCATGAGCTCATTGGCAAGTCGTATGTCAGGAGCCATGTACCTGCGTAGTTTTCTAGGGTTTGTAAGGTAGCTTTCAAAAAGCCGACATTCGATTCCACCTTTTAGAAACTTCTTAACGGCATTCGCACATCACTCGCAGCATTGGCGGCCGTTATTTTTGGGCTCCAGGCCTTCCTTAGTTCAGAATTACCTCCCAAGATACCAGGTTATTGGACCTTTAGGTCCTAAAAAGTTGACTTGACCTACAGACGCCCTTTGGAAGGCTTCCGTCTGTCAAAATGTTCTAGAACTTTATTTACCCCAGCTTTGTTTTAAGTTAAACCCTTGCTTTTTTCAGCTTCAAGCTATGCACGAATTTATTCTGGCCCAGCAGAAATTAAAATTCCAGGAACAGCAGTTGATGGAGTCCATAGCAGGGGTTAATTATTCAAAAAAACCCAAATATACTCCCGACGGTCTACTGATCAAGTACGAGTACGACTCAGACGAAGACTGTGAGGGAGGAACTTGGGAGCACAAACTTCGGGCTGCGGAAATGGAGGCAACTAAAGGTTGGTTAATGACATCATTATGTCCGTTTTGTTAGCAAAAATCTTCCAAAATACTGTCATCTTCCAACGACCTGCCTCGAAACTTATCCTGCTGATTGAAGAATTGTTTTAGACTCAGAATTATAAGCTGGTTTTCTACCCCTAAACCTGCCATGCCTTCGGGCAGAAACGACTTCTGATGCTATAGAATTCACACCACAGGTGCATACTTCGTCGGCTGTTTGCCTGGCTCTGTTTCGACCTCAAGGCTAGCCTATACGGATTTCCACCACCTGCCGAGTATGGGGTTTATCCGCCAAATTATGTAACAGGCACGTTTCGCTAGAGTAGTTTATTGAATTTTTGGGGTATGCTATTTACTGTGCGCCGTATGCTTATCCCAGCCCTTGACCTTCCTGGCTGCCTCATCCTCTAAAATGGCACATTTTGTTCCAAAAAATGGGGGCGAGCTTTTGTCAGCTGAGCATATCTGCCACACTGATTTGCGCTGCACAAACGAGAACGCACTCAGTTCAGACTGGTCGTATGTCGAACTGGTTTAGCACAACTAGTACCCGGGATGTATTACCGACTTGTGTGTAACTTGTAGTAAGTGAACCTCACGCGGCATGGGGTCTGACTCCGTTATCATCGCTTTTCGATGGTAAAACTTAGTCAGTACGACTGGAGAGGTTTGCCCCGTCTTTCCTGGGTGACATACCTGCCTCAGCTTTAACTGAGGTGCACCATACTTCACTCTCACGGACATATCAACGGGAGTTCCATAAGAGCACATGAGGGAGCTATCGCGGCCCGACTATGAATCCCAGGACTGATTGTCCCGCCGGTTTGCGATTTTCGGACCTTCGACGCCTAAGGCTCAAATACACGTCTGACGATTAGGTACGGGAGACTCTACCAACTCCAGGTTCCTTTGAGACGGGGGTATTGTAACCGGTCGTCCTAAGAAGTCTTATGCACACTGAAAGCTCACGTAAGGCTTTTTTTAATACTTTTGCGTTTTACTCATTTTTGTTCTTGCCTTGCTCAGAGTGGGCGGAAAAGTTAACAGAAATGGGTCAAGGTAAACATCATATTGGAGACTTTCTTCCTCCGGACGAATTGGAACGGTTCATGGAGACGTATCGTGTAAGTTTTCATACGGTCTAATTAGTGCCTTGTTTCCCCCTCTCTAGTAAGCTGCTTCACCACCTGCTTGTTTAGACGAATGAAAGTAGCCCCGTATACATTCCCAAGTTCGGTTAAAGTGCTGCGGGATCGACAAAGCCATGACTGAGTTGATTTTATGGGATAGGTGCTGACGCTTATGCTGTCCTTCATGCCTACGGATGTCCTTTACTGTCTAATTTGATCAATAGTGGTTATCCACAAAAAGAACTTACTATCAGGAGAACGGGTGTACTGAATTACTTGGGAGTGTGTGCGTGTATATGGGATGACTGACCGGAGGACTGAGAGTTAGACTCAATTACTCCCTCTTAATGTGGCCTTTACGACACACGCATGTGAGACCCCAGTCGCCCTCTGTGACAGCCTGGTGCATTTTTCGGGGACCAGCTCGTGTGTGGCACACGCAGTCAGGCACGCTAGTTCAGTCAGCCGCCGTGCGCATTGCCCGCCTCAGACAACTGGCCGACTTTAAGCAGAGGTGAAAGTAGCCCTCTACTTATGGACAAGCGTATCTCATTATTCCGGATGTGGCGACATGGACATATCCTTCAAGACGCAACCGTTGTTCACCTATACAAACGAAAAGGGAATCGAAAGATCTGCGACGATCATCGTGGAATCTCCTTTTTTATTATCAACTGTAAACTGTTTATCTACATTCTCCCTAACCCTTTGACTGTACATCTTGAACACCAACGTGGATTCTGGAAGCATCGGGGAAAGAACCGATGTAATTTTTGCAGTTCGATAATTGTAGGAAAAGTACAAACAAGTGGGAATCAGCGTCTCTGTTACCAGGGCTTTTAATACCGGGAATACTGCAGTTGTGGTTAAAGCAGCTATCAAAGAAGCTGAATGGCTACTTTGGACGCAAATAGCTGAGCACACAACGACAGTGAGGAGAGACGAACTCGAGTGCCAAGTTTCGGATCATCTGACGGGGCCCGGCAACACGTTCATGGTTAACGAGACTGAAATCCTCTCGAGAAGTGACAATCGCGTAAGCCGCGATCTACTTGAGTCATAGTTCTCCGCCAACTTAGCTGCTGGCCACCCAGGAGCCTCTACAGGTGACAGATAGTGGAACGGCCTTCGACAAAGGTTAGCTGCGAAATAAGCAGACTCTTTAATCTGCCGAATAAGCAGTTCCGAACCAGCATCGTCAATGCTATTAAGGTGCGTAGGGGTGAGGTCTGGCACGCCGACTACATTATAAAATTCCGCAAAGCCCGATGACGGCACCGGGATACGGAGGCTGTGAACCACCATTAAATGAGTTAGCTGGCCGCTGCTGCCGTGTATTTGGGTTTTTGAGCCAAAGCGCTCGAGAGGACAACCTTGAACAAACAATCTGGCGGTTGCGGACCCGCCTGTACTGACAATTCCCAAGAAACCTCGTGAAAATGTCCGATTGCAATAATACGATCCATGCTACGGCCTCCCGCGACAACCGATGGGCTCCGCAAGACTGGTCCAATAGCCGGGCGAATAGCATGCAGGCTGGACTACTTCATTGCTAGCTGACTCCTGATATTAGATGCTGGAATTTGCGAACGTTCCTGGACTCTGTTACCCACTGTCCGACACCGCGCGGTCATCAGTAAAACGTGGATGTCTGCTGTCCGTCCGGAGCTCGAATCTCCGACTCAGGCGCTTAAAAAATTAAGATTCCGGAAGTCGACTCCCACTTCATCTTGTACCACGGCGGCGCATGCGACTCTTCCGGTAGACATGGTGTGGCCATCGTCCTCTTGCAACAAGCGAGCCATCTATTACTTGCATGAGAACCAGCCGGTGACCGGATGGCTTACGTGCAACTGAAGGGTCACTCTACGAACATTTCTGTCGTCCCCATGTACGCATCAGCATCAACTGCCGACTAAAGAGATAAAGAGACCTATCAGCTGCAAGAGTTAGTTGAACGACTCCTTTGTGGTCTGCTGCTTGCTTCTAGGGACTGGAATAGCCGTCCCGGCGGCCCTTCGAACTGACCGTATTGGCCGCTTTGGGCTTGGATTTAGATTCGACAATTGTGGGAGAATGCTGAATTTTGCTGATCAGAACGGCTGTTTGTCACGAAAACAGGCTTCCAGCATCGGCACAAACGCCAGGCCTGGTATTCAGATGAAGGCCAGTCATATCGACTACGTTCTAGTTACCCCAATGTTCCGTAGCTGGGTCCACGATAGCAGATCGATGCGTGGTGCCGAAAATGGTACGCCCATGGATCAGACCATGTTTTCGTTCGCACACACCTCAAAGTTCACCTTTCATCTGCACCTAAAGTGCCACGTTCAAGACGCCTTGATGTGTCAAAACTTCGACACCTCAGCATCGCCGAGGCACTGAGCACAGAAGTCCGACCCTGTTTTCCGATCCAAGCCGACGAAGAAGACTGGGGCCAGTAGTGATCATTGAAGTCATCAGTCTATGGGACTGCTGAAAAGATTCTTGGATTCACCCATCGGATCCGCATTGACTGGATCAGCAGAAAAACCCTACAGTTGTCTGCCCAGACGGCCAGAGACGATGTTTCCTTCCGCTACTTCCCTAAAGTGACACCAAAGTCGGCTGGAGATGACCGGCAAAAATATTGGGCTGCATCAGCGACCTCCATAGAGCAGGCCTCAAACGTTGGTGAAATTCGAAAACTCTACCAAATTGTCCGCCAAGTTATTTGTATGCCGTTTGCACTGAATGACTTCGTGGGATGCATCGGCCAAAATCGATAGCCAGCGTGAGCACTTGGGGCATCTTCTCAGCTATGATGAGCAACCCACCAAACCGCCCCTCTCCTCCACAGCGGTTTTATCTCCATCCTATGCAATGTTATGTGCCCCCCCCTTCAGAGGACAAAGGCCGATGCAATTCAGAGGCTGCACAGCAACAGAGCGCCCGGAGAGGATGGTATTCGCGCTGAAATCTGCAAATCTTGTGTTGACACCCTGGCGCCCCGGCTTCATGAGGTGACTGAGCAAGCGTGAAGAGATGTGGTCGCTCCTAATTACTGAACTTCGGGCATCCTTGTACCCGCTTTCAGAGTGCGAGATTAGTCAGATCGCGAGGGCTACCGCGGCATATAAGCCTCATCGACGTTGCTGTGAAGGTTGCTTCTGTCGTCCTCAGGCGATTTCGAGGCTTTGCGTCACGCTAGGACGAGACAAAACCTAGCCGGTCCCACGTTAGGCGTGAATACGCGAACCAAATATTCACACCGTGACGCTCCTTGAATTCCACCATGGTTACCAATGATCAACGACTACCTACTTTGTTGATTTCGCCGCTGCGTCCGATTCCGTTCGTAGTGAGTCCCTGTGGCGGACAGTGAGGGTAGATGATGTGCCTGCCACCATTGCTCCACCATTGCGCGGGCCCGGGTCCATTTCAGTCCGCCCCGATCATTCAATATCCGATCTAGTGTTCGACAAGGCTGTATCCTGTCGCCCATCCTGTTCAACTACACGATTCACTGGATTCTTGAAGGGGTCTCACGTGGTTATGACGGCGTTGAGTTTGCACCCGGACACCGACTGACTGATATCGACTATGCCGATGACATCGCCTTTTAGCCTCAAGCTTTGGTGCTCTGCATTCTGGTGTTGCTTGCGAATGGAGTCTCGAGATCTGTCGGTTCCCCAGAAACGCTGGGACGACCACTGTCTTTTCGAGATACATCCCTGACCAGGACAAGGCGCACCTTGGGATTAGTAGCCGTCAACGTGAAGACGTAGACAGTTTCAAGTACCCCTGGCTGAGGCTGCTGCCGAATGGACAGAGTAAGGGCGACGTCATCTTCCGAATCTATGCTTCTCGCAGGGGTTTCCCTGTCGTTGGAAAGTGTCTGCGGACCCCCCACGACATCTCCATCGTCACGAAGATCCGCGTGTGCCATGCATCCGTCCGATCAGTTCTCTATGGTTGCGAATGCTGAGCTGTGCCCTTGGAAGATGAGCGAAAGCTGGAGGTATTTGACCACCACTGTTTGAGGGCTACTCAGTATGACGTGCACCGACTTCGTCTCAAATGAGACAGCCCGCACTCTCTGCGACAACATTGCAGGTATATTTAAGTCTCTCTAAGAAAGACGACTTAGGTGGTTTTGGCACGTTTTTTGTCGTCCGCCTCGCGAGCTGTTTATTGCTGCCCTCGGCCTGGTGCCGTCGCCAACTTGGAGTCGTCGAAGGCGAGGCTAACTGAAGAGCGGACCCAACACATTTCGTCAAAACATTGAGGCGATTCCTGGACCTTCGGTATTCAGTCCCCGTCGCCAGTGAAGAGAATGGGTCGAGCTATCCAGATCCGCTGCCGCGGATCGTCACGCGTGGAGAGGTACAATCCGTGACGTCATCGAGGCCAGCTAGACCAGGTGTGATTACAGTTAAAAGCCGAACGATACTCTCTCTTCAAGCTTTCGCTAAGGAAAAGACGCAATTTGTTACCAAATGAGTACAAGAAAAATATCTTTGTGCACGTTTCCTATGAAGTATAATGAAATGTATAGGAGCATCGAAAATCAGTTGGGAGGTTTCATACTACTTATGTGGCCGTTTTACGGTGTAGATTTTGCAGACAGCCATGGAGTTGCTTATTCGAAAACCGACATTCTGTCGTGAATAAAATATCTTAGGATTATGCTGCACGATAGGTAATATTACAACCCTACTTAAGTAATCTTTTCGAATCGAAAGCATTTCAGCACTTCGGTTAACATTTCATGAGATAGCACATTTACTTTGCCTACTTGTATTTGCTATAACTGTGATCGCTCCTGGTCTAGCTGGCCTCGATGACGTCACGGATTGTATGCTCGTATGCTGTGCCAGCTCCATAACACTGTTTCTCATTCCCCTTAAATTTTAGGCTCTAAAGGAAGGCCGTGAACCCGACTACTCAGATTACAAAAACTTCAAGCTGACCTGCGAGAATGTCGGCTATCAGATGCTGGAGAAGATGGGTTGGAAAGAGGGCGAGGGTCTGGGTGCCGCCGGGCAAGGTATAATCAATCCCGTTGGCAAGTAAGTAGCACCTACTCGCTTACAAGCTGTCTGTCTCGGCGTAGCAACAGAACTACAGCTATGCCTTGTCCATCATCTCTACGTGTTCTGGTTTTTGTGTTCTGTTATCTTATTTTGTTCATAGCCCTCGCCTAACACATTGAGTTCTTCACCGCTAGCCTGTATATCTTTCGTTTTTTCCAGGGGCAATGTTTTTATCGACGGTGTCGGCCTGGGTGTTGAGAGACCGGCCAACCTGAAACAGGACGACGACGAATATGATGCCTACAGGAAGCGAATGATGCTTGCCTACCGCTTTCGTCCTAATCCTCTGGTTGTTATCACTGTTCTGCTCTGTTGTTTTTTTTTTCTCTCTCTCTCTCTCCCTGTTTGCCCTCCTTGTGTGTTGATATGTGGGCGCAAAGTTGTTTTTATTGCGCAGGTAATCTCTTCGTCCAGTCGGTTACCACTGGTTAGTAATTGGCGATTGCCGCTGAACGCTTGTGTAGGGTTCCAGGTCGAACTTCTCTAGCAAAGCATTGTCAATGGTATTCTGTCCCAAATGCTGGGACACCACTCCTGGATGAATTTGAATATTCTCGGTCGCAGCTACTAGGACGCAAACCATGACTCAGGGGTACAGTATGTGACTTAATACTCAGTAACCCAAGGTCACCAAGTTTTTCTGACCTGACGGCGACTACGACAAGAAAGTCAAAAGAGTCATTCCAGTCTCCGTTGTCTTTGCGGGTAGCGCTTCTTAAAGGCTTCTTCCTGAGCTCCTTTCTATTCATAACGTTAGCATTGACGTGAAAATACAGATGTTAATAATCGCTAGAATACCATGGATGGGTGGTTGAAGCATGCGGGTAATGTGATAGGGCAAATTACCTATGCTAGGGCTGACGCAGGAGTTCCATTGAACGCCTGGTCTGGTGAATATTCTACCCAATGTTTTGTAAGCCCTTACCACCCCGGTCGGCCAACCAATTCCGTTCAACTCTGCCTTGCCTGAAAAAACAGGGTATACTAATGGGGTCCGGTATGCAAAATGTGTTAAAATAATGGGGTTACAAATGCGAATGGTCATGTGGGAGTCGGAAATTTCAGCTTATTGCCCCGATGCCCACAAAACGCAGGTATGGGGGGAGGCCGGTCTGCTAATGCCCACCTTTAGAGACTGCAGTTATGAAGACACTGGTGAAGGTCTCGGGATGCTTTCTTGCATGTCAGTCGGACCTAATCCGTGGGTCATTTGCGCGTCGTAGATGTGCGCGTTTGTGCCTGCGAGCACAGGCAGAATTCTGAGGTATGGCTCACGCAAGATGGCGGGAAACACCTACCGTCTCGATCTTCCCCTATTCTTACCTGTCTGCCCCTGTCGTCCTTTTCTTGTTCGCCCTTCAGTCTAGTGGTTCCCACCATTCTATCCAGAGTTTGCTGTTGGAAACCCAATTGATAGTTATGCGCTTATGGCAAGGTGCATCTTGATCTGTTCTTCTTTTAAGTCAACAAACTTTCCGAATATCATTTTTTGGATGTTCCTTACGATTATCATGTCTAGACGGGTGCTTTTAACCGGCTTTAAACTTATATTATGGTTTTCCGTCGGCTGAAAGAGATGCGTTTGCTCAGTTCTTATTTTTCCATCCTCAAAACAAGTAGCGTAAAAATGCGGCTACTGATCATGTCGAGTCGTTCTTTTATCGCAACGGCTTACAGATAAATCATGAAGGGACGGCCAATTCGGCCGAATGCTACTGAATTTCGCGGCTATTGAGTCATTTCTAAGTTATTATAGGCCAGTCACCCAGCTAAATGGTTATGGACGCCATATAAATAACCTATCCCATCAGACAAGACCGATTACGCAGTTGTCACGCTTGTTTGTTGTCGATGTTTGTTTTCATTCCCTAAGGTACTATTCCTACAGCTCCCTTGGATTCCAGTACTTTTATTCCCACTTTTCTCGTCCTTTTAGAACAACCCGAGGCGAGACTACTACTAGCATATCGCGTGAACATAATGACGGAGAAAATGTGGCAGGTTGTGGCAGCTGATTGTTTAGATGTCCTTCCCTCTTGCCAGATATTGTCTTCTTTGTGATCTTGTGAATACTTGTTAACAGTCTTGTTCTTATGAATAAATACCTTCATTTTACGAACCTTCCTGTCTTCTTTTCTTGTTTGATTGATCTAAATTGGGACGTCTGCGCTCCCTGCCTCGCAACCAATGATGCAGACCCATCACTTGAGATTTTTAGTCTGCTAGAGCTTACCACAGTAATTCGGACAAGAATTATAGCCTCTCTCTCCGAAAATTTTGTAGCTGCGTTATATGAATGTCATGGTTTCGCGGATTCTAATATGAGTGGTCACACTTTCTTCAAAAGTCTCCCGAAGACAGGCCGCCTCAGTAACTTTATTGGCAAAACCCACTTTGAAAGAGAACCATCTGTTGCGTCCGACCTTCTCTATTTTGTACGGGCCAGACTTCTCATTTGCCCGGAACATGTCCGAGGGCTGACAGCGCCTTGTCTTGGATTCGCAAATAGGCCAACGTTTTGTTCTCTATTTTTATTGGCATTACCACAACCGATCTTTGACATTTCTTCGCTCCTTTTAGTCAGTTATGTCTGAGGTTGAAGAGCCCCATCGTCATGGATCTGGGCCGCAGAAGGTCTCGGTTGGTCAGTACTCTTGTCAGAAATGTAAAAATCCGATATATCTTACGGCGGATCTTGAACAGCTACGAGGCCCTGATTTGTCTTCCATTATTGGTAGGACTCTTCGTTTGCATCTTTTGGCTCTAAAATATATTGGTTCATTCCCTCCGCCTTACTCCTAAGTAATTTAAGTTATTCAAGAGTGCTAGTTTTTTCTTCCCTGAACTATTGTATTGGTGAAATTGTTGTGTATAGCCTTTATTGGGGCAGGCTAATTGATCCGCTTGCAAGCGTAAAAATGACCTGTCTCATTCTTCAGGTTAAGTAATGCAACAGGCTATTTCTCATAGTGAAATTTCTGGGAGGATTGCTTATCGCCATTTTCTGCAGTTCTCTCGGCAACACTGTCACTTCACATTGTAATATCTCACTCTTAAAAAGTTGGACAATTGTTAAAACGGCGTGCCTGTTGGGGGGACTGAATGTCCCAAATAAATAGAACTGATTCTTCTCTTCCTTGCACTTCCATACATACCGCGGAATTCGAATAAGGAATCAGGGATAGCATATGGGAATCTGAGTGAACTACTGGGTTCCGACGGCTTTGTATGGATTAGTCAAAAAAACTGAATTTTGGGGAAATTCCAGAACCGACCTCAGGGGAGTAATAGGGTAAATTTGTGTCTTTATGACTCGTTTGAACTCCACTGCTATGCTGTGAAACTCTTAGTCAACATTAATATGCAGGTAGAAGCGTGTCTTATTGGGGATCTCAGAAATACCTAGCTTGGCTACATGTTACCACAACTCCATTCTGAATCACCAGACGCCTACGGACGCTGGCACGCAATTCCTGCTATCTGCATATGTGTTTTTCCTTGTGCTTGCATGAGTAAGTGAGGTTCCAACGTATGCCAGGAAGAACAGCCGACTGCAAGTAAAGCCACAGCATTGCGGCATTCTATCGTCTTCTTATTTGCCGACGGCATTTACTTTCCAAGGTTTCCAACAGTATAAAGGTTAAACTGCCGCTTCTTATGACTTTATTACGTTTCTCACTTCCATCATCAAAGAAACCTTAATCAATGTCTTACTATTTCCGTAATCCAGGTGAAGAGATTTCCATCTGTGGCAGCTTTTCTCCTGACCAACAGACGTCACCTTCATTAACCATGTACGTAATGGTTATTCGTTTCTCCATCTAGGCCAACAGGCATCCTTATTCATGTTTGGGCTAGGTTTTTATGTATTTTGCGCGGTGGATATCAAGTGTTTTCCTCTAATTTATCCCGATTTTGTTGGTCACCAAACGCCATTGCTGAATCATAATGGCCACTGCTGTGTTAGCAGGCATGGTGTCGCTCCTCTTACGTCCGCTCATAAAGAATGTCTAGGCTTGCTCTAGAATTATGACACTTCTCAGCATTTACGGTCATTGCAGTGAAAATCGCCCTAGTTCGCAGGGATGATGGTCACCAAACTGATAACGAATATCTCGTTGTGGCTAGCTGTCTGTATTGTCAGCAGTTTTTGTAAAAAGGATTGTTTTCCAAACGGACGACAGGGGCGTCAGCAGACAGATCCCTTTCCTTTCAGACGTCGCAAATGGTGAAGCTGTTTGGATAAATATCGACCTGGGCGGTGCTTTCTGTCAAATCGGTCAGACAGTGGTGAATTGTAGGCACGCGTGTCCCTTGGCTGAGTAGACTGAGACCTCGTGAATCGGTAGCATAGGATCTGACGGAGAGTCCAACAGAGCAATTTCTTCGTACTGTTGATAGCCACTACCCGTACGCTGAATCACAGTCATCCTCTTGCTAGTATTTGCCCTAGACTTTTCAAAGTACTTTGTTCCATCGCCACAAATAGGTTGGCGCACCCTCGTTGCTCGCGGATTCGGGCAACCGGCACGTACATTATATTTACCAGATGGAAATTATCGATAACAATCCTGCCCAAGCACGGCCTTGGTCAGATAGGACATGGATGGACACGAGGAAAGCGGTTTGCGTGCCCGAAGCTTCAACTGGCTACCCTTCTTGTTAGAGTCTACTGCCTGCCGAATGCAGTAAGAGACAGCAGTCCGACATGCAGCTACTTTACGAGGTATAGGCGGCCGTCTCCACAATCCTGAGTTAGTACACAACCGTAAGACCGACCCCCGTACTAATAGAAGTTGCGCAATTATTTACTCGCAAAAGGGCCAATGGAACGGTAATTCAATTTAATGCTCGGAAAACGTCTCGCCTGCGAGCCCTACGCTGTGGCTAATCGACTTGGAGTTTTTCTGGTGAGCATTTCCTTTCCTCAGGTTTCGTGGGGTTTGTGCAGGGACTGAAGGGCGCATACTTTTCCCCTTGAAGTCCTGTCTTCGAAGTGATGTCATGAACAATATACCTCTTCGAATCTGCAACATCCTTATTGCCAATCACCTCATCTTACAAAACCTAGGGGGTGTCCAACTGCTGGCGAGTTTCTTCGGAATCCGCTAGCTTATTCAACTTTTCCGCTTACTAGTTTACTCTCAACCGCGCACCACTGCGCATTCAATGACTAACAAGGCATTTTCCCTCCCATAGGCGACGGCCTACTCCACAGGATGGTTATAAGCAACCATCGCTGTTTCGCTCCCCCCATCCGTCAACCTCGGCCTCCAGCATGGACCACCGCCTGCAGGTGAGTTCCGCCACCCATTTGGACCTGAGAAAGTCCTCTAGTCTACTACGCCCACTTCACAGCTTACCCAACCCCCCTCCCCCCCCCCCCCATAGTTATGCTATAACCTACGTATTCTCGTGCGTCTGGATGGGAGGAAAGGTCTAGGGGGAAGAAGGACTTCAGAGTTCCCCACGTTTTAGGTTTATTTTCTGAACCTCTTACGTCCTCTCGTCCACTTGAAAGCCGGAGGGGGGGGGGAGTTGAAAAAATAAAATACAGATTCAAGGGCATTTATGAAGTTAACGCTTAATGTGAACGGGACCGCTGCTGGGGCATTAACCTCTGAAATAATCTGAAGGCCTTTAGTTTAACTGGAGCAAATAGTGTTAGATAGTTTATCAGTTCCTTTGAAAGCGAATATATGAGGCACATCCTTGAAACTAAACTCGTCTGTCTGGAAACCAGTCATTCTGCGAAGAATTCGTGAGTTACTTTTTGAGGAGCCCACACTGGCTTTCTAGATGACACCCACACCCCTGTTTCCACAGAGGTTAACTAATGGTATTGTGATCAATGCTGCCCAGAAATACATAGCGGGGAGCTAAGTTAGGTTACTTCGGAGAATGTCGATCGTCATAAGGAATGTCTTTTTCATTTGTTTGATTCTTCTGTCGACATACTTTTAGTATGCAGGCAAAAGTACTCAAATATTTCCGTTTTTGCTGGTTTTCGAGCATTTATTTAGTCGGTTTGAAAACGCTACCTACTCACTCATGTTCGTTTTCGGTTCTTGACCCGACGTCTTCTGATATTTGGTTTTACTGCCTCTGCAGGTTAATGCCTATCTCTTTGACATTCTGAGTGGAAGAGTCAAACCCAATCATCCCATGTGTCAGGAATGTGCAGATATTCTCATCCACACCCAGAAGCAGTTGCTGGATTTCCAATTGGATGAACTGTCCTGTCTACAGTGCGTCCACTCCCATTCCCAGAAGTTGTATTCTACTTCTTCTGCCCTATTCTCCTGAACTCAATCTTTTTCCCGCCACCAGATCCTATCTTAGTCAACTGAACGCCAAGTCTGCCTCGTCCTCCGCTTCCAAGGACCAACGGACTGCCAGCGTGACGGCGGACAGTCCAACTGCCATATTTTCCGACCAGGGTCGCGTTTTCTTTCCGTCTGAGTCTTCGTGCGCAGGATTGGCAGCACCGTCCCCGTCTGCTGTACCAGAAGAAATCTCGCCGGACGTGCCGAATGAGAGCTCATGTTCCTCCTTCGCTCGCTACCACTCACCGGACACCCCAAATACCCCAGCCAAGACGCCGGGTCTTCCAAGCATCGATCCACCCGTCTTCCGCTGTAGCATCGGCAACTCAGATCTCGATCTCTCGCCCGAGGAGGCCGAACTAGCTTCTCTACAAGAGGAATTAGCTCGAGTTCTGAGCGAGTCGAAACTCCTGGATGAGCAAATCGAACGGGACTCGGTAGAATTACAGCTCCGGCAGGAAGAGCTGGACCGGTATGTTTCCGGCCCCTGCCAACGTAATAAATTCTTCCCCAGAGCTCTTGTGCTCTCGTGAAGAGTCGTTCTAGGCTCCCACTTATCGCCTTTTCTGTGCAGTTTTTATTTGCACTGGAACAAACGGTATCCGAATCCCAGATCTTTTCGACCTGGGAATTGGTTAGTGGCCAATTGAGGGGGCCAACTATGGTAGAGGGGCGCTCACGGATCATGTTACGGAACTCACTCGTCCGGTTGTGCCTTAAGGCTCTCTCTCGAGTCCAACCAGCAACGGCCTAGCGGCGCGTAATATAGGCAGAATAACATTACTGACAAAGACAAGGGAGACTGGAATGGCTATTTCTGGCTTATTAGCCAGCCATGCCCACCTATACCAGAGACGATCGTTCCAATCTACCGTTTCTTCGCCATTTACTCTTGATCATTGATCTTCGTGCGCCCATCGGCGAGGATCTAGCTTAGATTTCCGAAGCAAACGTGCACACCCGTACTCCGGCATACAATCAGACCTAGTTTGTTATCGCCACTCCGATGGTAATAGTAGCTTTTGTCGCGTTTTCTTCTATCTGGACGCGGGCCAAATGCTCACCTTTCTGGTGTCCACTCTTCATATTGTCTTCCCCTTTGACGAAGATGATGTATTCTGAAACTTTGATTGTCTGGCAACAATCTGGTTGTCCTTATGCAGGGTTCCCCAGCTGTCGTCTTGCAAATTTAATCTGTTTCCTTCTCTTAATTGTCTGTTTGCTACGGCTTCTGGTGTATTTCCGCGACCTCGAGGTCCGCAGTGTTCCGTCTTGTTGCCTTCTGCACTCCACTTTTAACCTCCATCTTTCCGTTCTCAAAGTCACTTTCTATTCCGTCACGCACGTTTTGCCTCTACCAGTGCCACAAGCGAATACAACGAAAACAAGCTCACTCTCCTTGAGGCTGAGGAATCGTTGGGTGTGCTCGAAGCGCGTCTTCGCGACGCACGCTACCAATTTGAGCGGCTTCGCCGAACCAACGTCCTCAATGCTGCCTTCCCCATCTGGTATGATGGCCACATTGGCATGATTAATGGGCTGCACCTAGGACGCCTTCCCAACAAACCGGTTAGTTGACGCTCTATCCATTGTCCCACCCCAACTTGCTTTCTTTCAGATAGCGTGTTTACCCGCTCACTTCCTTAGGTTTATTCGAGAAGATTAGTTGGTTTTACAGGACCGATTGTTGTTGGCCTCTGTTCGAAAGTTTTCTCTGGACTGTTCAGGAGGCTCCGATCAGAATTTTTGCTTTGTCCTTGTTGGTTCTGTCGCATCCAAGAAGTTTCTGTATTGGACGCAGCGTACGAACATATGCGTTCAGTTGCTCCCGAAATACATGACGCTACTGCCGCGGCTTTATGTTTTACGACGGACAGGCTGCTCGGAGTGGGACTCACTGTCGTAACGCACATATGTGAGGCATATGCCCGTTGGGCCATTGCAACCAATCACGCCTCCAACTGCTCTAACCCTACGTTGGCCACAACAGAAGGCCGCGGGCTACGCTGCGGTACTACCCTCAGGCATGTCTGGTTGTCGCTTGCTCACAAACACGGTCGCAAGCCAAAGCAGTATTACGATATAACGCGTGTTTGCATCCTCGAACGGAGCTTCACTCATCACTGTCGCCTTACTACTGGGACCACGCCCATAGTTCGGACGGTACTGCAAACTTCCCCTGCACTGTATCTCAAAAGCTTTCAGATATTCCACGACTTAGGCATCTTAGCTCAAGTCACGGCTTCCTCAAGAAACGACTCGCGTGGACCACCAGAATGCTGGAAGTCGAGTATAACAGATGGTATGCTTCGGATGAGTTAGGAGATGCCTGTTGCGGGGAAGAAAAAAACAGGGAAAAACAAAAACAAATAGTGAGAGCGACTAATGCAATAGGGGCGATTTTTCTGTTTTTTGGATGGGAAAATAAGACAAGCAAAACGGATTGTTAGAAGCCTACTACAGGTGCGTCTTCTAATGTTGGCGATGGGGAAGAATTCAGCACCATCATCTGGACACTTGTGCTTGTACATGCAAATGCACGACATTGAATGCAGAAATTGCTAACGATGTGGCACAGTGTAACTAAAAGGTAGACTAGTAAAAAAGGAAGTTTGGAGCGGTTGAGGTCTTAAAAACGAAGGTCAAAAAGGTAACAAGTGTGAACTGACCTAGCAATTCATAGTTACTACCATATTTTGGCCGGATGTGGAAAGGTCCGTTTTGAATTGCGACAAAGTACTTTGGCAATTTAAATTTACTCAATGATCATCGGTTGTGGATCTGTATTCGATCGGATCTTTCAAATGAATATGAAGAGGACCCGTAAAGTTCGCAGTTCATTTCGGCGATGTATCGGCTTTATAAATTCTTAACAGACCTTTTATTCATGGAAATATTGCCATTTTATTTAGCTTTATTTGGAAGAGTAACGATTTGGCTAGCTTTCTCTCCTCAGTTCTGGGAAATTCACCCACTTTACTTTTGAGATTTCAATTTCCTACTACAACTTGAAGAGCCCAAGGCTATTGTTTCCTTTTGTGGACGTGGATGATCACCATTCTGTCGCCCACTTTAAAAGCTAGGTACGCACCTTTCATCGGGGGAAAGATTGGAGCAAGCCTTTCTCTGGCTTATCAGGCTACCGAGATACTGGGCCCAACTTTTTCAGTAATTTCCCTTTAAATCAAGGAGAAAACAGTTTAAATCTTGCGCATCGCAGGTAAGGGGCTCAAGGTCTACTGTGAAGTGATATACAAGTCCTCTACCCAGAAAATTAATTGCGTTTTCCTTGAGAACTCTACCAGGGAAAATCTAAGTTCTTCAGTCATTTCAGTCCAGACAAGCGTTCCAAATTTTGCAGCTGCGTTTGGCGGTCCTTTTGTATCGTTCTTTTTATCTGTTTTTTTTTAAAAAAAGATTCCAACTGTGTTTGCACTCATAAACGCAAAACTGGTGACATCATCGATGTAGATTTGAAGCTTTCTCGCCCTCGTAGTTATCAGTCATCTTAGGTGGGTAATCGGCCGGAAGACTATAAACACGAGTTAGTCAAATATTTGCGTCCTTAGAACAGTTTTCATTTACTCTTTTAGAAAGTTAAACATTGCTGTGTTAGCACTGGCGCTGTTCGTCTTATTTAAGTAGTTGCGTAAAGGAGTCTGCGCCCGGGTTAGTTTGCCCGTCGAACTCGACAGACGCCAGTACTGTCCGTGGCGGCCGTGCCTTGTGTGTGATTTGGACCGTCTTGGGCGGGACTTCTGAAGCATCCACACTGCTTCTTTTATTGACAAGACAGAGTCAAGACAGCCGACGCCGGCCGTTGTCGGTACTACCGACCTTTTATGTAAAGCCCCGGTCAATCCATGTCACCCACGGGATTCGTCAACTAACGCACGTGCGGATGAAATCTAATAGAGCGCGCAACCCAAAAAACCAATACATAAACGGACAAATAAAACGTTTATCAGTTAAAACAAACGGCAAAGTATGGTAGGCTAGAGAAGCAGAGGAATATGGTAGAGTGATGATGCGATAGCAAATTGCCTTTCAATAATGGCATTTCCAACTGACTATCGTAAGTAACGACCGCTTGCCGTAAATTAACCAGTTTTGTAGGTTAAATGATTGGCACATCCTCATCGCCATATCTAACCTGGTGGCGTTTCTGGACGGACCACAGGAAGCCAAAAGCCGTGAAAAAATCTAAACTTTGGGCAGACTGCATGAAACTTTCGAAACGAGTGACTATATACCAACTGTTCTAACAATACTAACTATGCTAACCAAGCTAATAAGCTAACTATAATAAATAACTAACTAAATTGTGAGTGAGCTGTGTGAAACTTTCAAACCGAGTAACTATATAATAACTTCTTATTTGACCAACTTTCTCACTTGACCGACTTTCTTAACGAGATCTCCCGGGTCTCTCAGTGATTGGAAGTATCACTCAAACATAATTTCACAAAATTTAATGTCAAGAATAATCCCAGAAGCCGTCGTGGCTCGCATGAATATGGTCGACCAATCACTATTCAGCATTCTGAAACCCGTCAGCATATCGCAGTTTTTAATCACTCCCGTCACTTACCGCTCTGGGTTGTCATTTCGCAAGAACCTAATCCATCTTGTTCGATAGCCTGATGATAGCTTTCACAAGACCGCCTTACTAAATGGCCATTATTACCTCATCTTAAATTAAAATGATCGAGTTATCTGATCGTTTGGCATCCTTCCAAGCGTGTCATGATAGCTCAGGGGTGCCTTAGATTTAGGCCGCCCAAGTTGGGCCCCTCCTACCATCGCGCGTTATAGCCAGCACTACGTAAAGATGACTGGACACTAAATCAAGCACGGTTGCTGACGTTGCGTAACGCCGTGTACTTGGTCGTCTCCTATCTGGAGTTAACGCAATTGCACCGCACGTTTCGTAGGCTATGAAGGCAGGTTTTCAAAATCAACTTCGAAGTGTCCTTCAAATGTTTCGTAAACTCTCTTGCCTACACAGCCATTTCCGTTATCACTGTTTCGATAAAGTTTACCCTCGCGAAAAACCATTTTTTTCAGAAAACTTTTTGTCTGTTGTCTCACCTATAGTTGGAAATCTCGTTTAAACCTTTACAGATTGAGTGGTCTGAAATTAACGCCGCCTGGGGTCAGTGTGCTCTGCTGCTTCAGTGTCTTGCAAAGAAGCTCTCCCACACATTCACTGCGTAAGTTTTTATCCCAATACTTTCGGTTTGAAATCCTGACTGGCAATGAATGGTCAGGGCGATTTCACTGAGACCCTAATTCAATTCATTTATGAACATCAGTTAGCAGGAAAGAGGCGAAACCGCTTGTCTCGAGTGGTCTTGCATATCCTGGATACTGGGCACACTTTCGCTTGGCACAAAATCCGCATTGTAGACGTCTACCCTTTTAAGAAAGGCCGAGAGTTCCTCGAGACCATGCACTGGGATGAATCATGGACCAGTCGGTATATTGAGTTGGTTGCCGCGCACAAAAATGTCAGGAACAAATTAAAGAGATGACTACCACTCTAAACAGGGTGATGTCGCAGGGCGCCTGCGTACCGACACATACGCGGCGACCTGTGGGACTGGCGTCGAAAACTTTCGTCACTTTTCCTAATGAACCTATTTACCTTCGACGGCAGCGAGTAAGAGTTCGATGAGCGGCGCTAAAATCCTCAGCGGGACATCAGCTTCGTGGACTTTTGGGAGGCCATACGCGTTTGCGATATGGGGATCATTGAGGGTCGTCAACTTGGAGTCATCTGGACCGATAACTTTCAGACGAGCGAGTTCATTGACCTTCTTGATGGCTGCGGCCTGCCTTTTTGTTGGGTCTTCGGCTAGAAGACTATAGGCCTCCATGCCACTGAAGATTTTATTCGCCTTGTTAACGTAGTCTCGTGTAATAAGCATGCCCGATGCGCGAACTCTGACCCGCCTGCTGGCAGAGGATTGGCTTTGGTTTCTCCGTGGCCGACCGCTGAGGTGCTCGGAAAATAAATAAGATTCTTTGGGGAGAAAATAACCTTTAATGCGTAAATTTTGGAGACTGGTTCCCCAGCTCGTCGTCAGACTTGGGTTATGTACAAAAACAGTTAACTATTTAACCGTGTCGAACTAGTGATTCTATTGGTTGGCCGAAGCCTGCGCCAATGCGCGTCAATGGTTTTTCGTCATCCTCTCGGCACTGACTGCGCTCGCTTCCATTTGTCCTTGAGGAATTTGTATGGGGCATCTAAATTGATATGCCGATTGATGCATGCCTCATCTGAGTTCATTGCCTCCAGGAATTCGCGGCCCTTTCCTTATTGGGCAGACGCCAAAAATGCGAGTGTTCTCTTATGCAAATTGGTGTCCGTGGTGGTGGTGTGTGCATAGCCACCTGGGATAGATGATCTCATTTCTTCACCGCTAACTGATGCTCATGTATGCGGATCGAGACAGATCTTCCAGTCTGACCACAATAGACGGCATTACAACTGGAGCATGAGATCTTGTAGACCACCCTTTCTTTCGAGATAGCCAACCCTGTCCTCAGGGTGTACAAGCTGTGTACGCAAGGTGGTTGCAGGTTGGTGTGCTACTTGTACCTGATGCTTTTTCAGCTGTCTTTCGACGAGCTCAGATACAATTCACGCATGGGAGAGTCCGCCGGCTGAATGTTTTTGGTGCCTGGGCGGCCGTATTGTTCGAAATACCTTTCTTTTTAAACTCATGCCTCATGCAATGACGTGCAAAGTTGCGTGGGTAACCGTTGTTGAAAAATAATTTCTGCTTGATAGCATTCTTAATCAGAGCAGTGTGTTTTAGCTCGGTTTAGCAGGCTGTAGACAGTACTCCTCTTGTGAGAGACGGGATGATTACTCTCAAAATGTAGGATGACCTCTGAGTATGTTTCTTTGCGATAAACTGAAGTGTGAAGGGATCCATCAGTTTTTAGGTTAACGAGGACATCTGGAAATGGGAGTTGTCCATCAACCACTGTTTTGAAAGTGGATTTGATTCCTGGAAATGTGGGGTTCAGATTCGCGGCCTTTCCTCATTGGGCAGGCGTCAACAGTGCGAGTGTTCTCCCATGCAAATTTGTGTTCAGTGTCCAGTGTGTGCATAGCCACCTGGGGTAGATGATCTCGTTTCTTCACCGCTAACTGATGGCAATGTACTCGAGTTGAGACAGATTTCTGTTTGGCTGCAATATACGGGATCACAATCAGCACATGGGATTTTGCGAATAATTCCTTTTCTATCGAGGTAGCCAACCCTGCCCCTAGAGTATACAAGCTGTGTGCCTAAGGTAGATGCCTGCTGGTGTGCTATGTGTATCTGATGTTTTTGGCTGCCTTTTGGCTAGTTAAAATACATTTTGCACGTATATAAGAGTTCGTCAGGTGATTAGTTCAGGTGCCCGGGTGGCCGTCGCACCGAAAATACCTTCCCCTTAAATTTTTGGTGTCTCGCATTAATGTTAAAAGTTATGAGGGTACACACTCTGGGAAAAATAGTCTGTGGAGGTATTTCATTTCTGCTCGATAACTTGCTTCATCAGGCCAGTGCGTTTTGGCTCGATTCAGGAGGCTGTAAACTGTACTCCGTTTGCGAGAGACAGGATAGTTACTCTCGACATGTAGGATGACCCCTGAATATGTCCTCTTTGCGATAAACTGATGCATGAAGTGATCTATCAGCTTTTTGACTTACGAGCGCACCCGGGAATAGTTGTCCATCAACCGTCGTCCTGTAAACATATGGTATGTCTTATCGTCCTTCATAGTCCTACAGCTTTCGATGGAACAGTTCCCTCATTTTCCTATTCCGTAACGCTTTTAGATACTCTATACTGCCGCTGGGGAATCAGTCACAAATTATTCAACTAGCCACTGACAGGGCCTTCCCTCTTTATAACTCTCCCGGAAGTATTCGCCTTTTCAATGCTGGCAAGTACGTAATTTTGCATAAATGTCTATTTAGGCGTTTCTTAATATTTTTTAAAAAAAACTAGTCAATAATTCGAATCCTGTCTTCTTACTACATAACGACTTGTCTCTGACAAAATGTAGGAAGTCGTTGTCGTGGCTTTTTTTGACTACGTGGGCCATTCACCTTGAAAGGTCTTTCTGTTCGCCTATAACCAGTAAATTTCACCCGGTGATAGTTGTTCACTCAGATATTATTTATTTTGACGTTAATTGCCTTTCTAGTCCCGCCGGCTCAGAGTGACGCGCAACCAAAATTCCCGAGAACCTTATCGGAAGCCGCGACGAATTCCTAATCCCACTCACCGAGTTATGTTAAGTTGGGCAGCTTTTTAAAGCGTTTTTTTCTATTGGGGTGATCCCTCGGTGTTCGAAAGGCGCTACCGAGAAGGCGGGACACTTGAAGGCCAATTTGCTTCGTCGCCGTCGGCCAGCCAAAAGCGAGGCCCGGAGAGCCGTTGTCGTTACTGCCGATGTGCGCGTTGCAACTCCCGCGCCCAGTTACGACCACCCCATGAAATCGATGGTTATAGATAATGAATCGCCGTGGAGACAGTCGTGAACTGGTTTCCCATCGTCGGTATTACGCCGTGGACTGCAGCTACACACTTACGCGAGTGATAGCTTTGTGCGCTTGGTATTGGGAGGTACTGGTTCCCCATTTCACCAGTGTTTTCTCTGCTTTGTGCCCTTCGAGGTCATTACCATGCCTGCTGAGTTTTCACGCACATGGCTGTGATAGATGATGCTAAGCTCTTTCATGTGGCTTATCCCTTTATCATATCTCCGACCGGTGGGATGTTTTCGAAGCCATATCTCAAGAAAGTGTGCATTGTCATTGGTTTGATGTCTGTATTGAAATGTCCGTGTTCATATCCTTTGTTCAAGTATCCTTCTTCGTGCACCTGACCTCAGCCTAGCGACGTTCTTCAGAATGGCCTATTAGGGTTTAACGGGCTACTTTCGTGCACGTTTTTAGTCTTTAAATGACAGGAGAACGCGCTTCGCGACCAGACAAGGTCGTTAATTACGAGACTTCTGAGAGTTAAGGCATCTGGCCACTGAAAATATATTTCTTGATTTGTAAAGTTAATGCAAGAAACGCATTTCGAGCCAGTCGCTTTCCTTGGCGAAGATCTGGATGAAGGCCATGTTGTTGTCTATCCAATAGCTAAAGCATTGCCAGAGAGAGCAGCCCCCTACTGCCAGGCCTTTTTCTAATGTTTCGGTGTTGCAAAGCCCTACTGAATCAGCCTCTTAGTCATTTCTCCAGTCTTGGATTTTGCTTCGCCATTTCAGCCTTTTTTCTCGGCCACTAAATCCTGTGAAATCCCACCCGTCCATCTTCCCCCGTCTTCTACTTTTGTCGTCCATCCATCTATGTGACGTTTCATTTGATTTTGATAGATTTGACACCGCCATGACGATGTTTCTTGAATGCATGAATCAACTCCAGGAGATAGTTGAGCGACCTCCGAAGTTCGAATTGCCGTATAAAATCCTGGAAAAGGGTCGAATGCGCGACACAGATAACCAGATTTACTCAATCCGGTGAGTCCGCACTGTCCGGGTTGCCTTTTGGCCTCCTGTTTTTTTTCATTACATCGTCCTTTTTGTTGTGACGATAGACTCACCGGAAGCAGCGAGGAAAACTGGACAAAGTGCCTGAAGATGCTGCTTATCAATCTTAAATGGATTATTGCTTCAACTGTGGTGCCACGGTAGACCTCCCTGCTTCCCTTTGTACACATTGGCTGATTGTTCATGATCTGACTCCTCCCTCCAATCTGTGATATCCATGCCTGGGTGCAATCTCTGATTTTCCCCTATATAAAAGCTTCCGCTCTTCCTTCAACTTCATTGCCTTCAAGTAGAACTATTTCAAGACAGGCCAACAGTATAGTTCCTTAGGCGGTTATACCTTCTGAAAGTGCGCGTCGTACTCCGGTGCGAGACCTCGTTCGACGGTCTTAGTTTTCCTTAAAAAAACCAAGTTGTCGTAAGGACGTGCTATGTCGTTTTGGTTAACTCGATTTTGTTGTTCAGATGAAAAATCTTCCAGATTACTCCCAACCTGTCCTTTTTTGTTTCTTACGGCTCTTCCCCGAGTGTTGTGACAGCACCCCAGTACACGACCCCCTCCTCTGAGTTTGAGGCTGTCGGGGAATCGTGCTCCATATTTCTGAATGCACAGATTTCAATTTCAGAACAAGCCCCCCAAAGTTATACCGCATGCACGAGAGGCGTCCTACAGGCTAACCCCTAGAAACTGGTGTTACGAAACTCCACGTGTTTCACAGGCGCTTAAATCCTCTGCTTTTTCGCGTGGACTATGAGGCGGTTGAGTTCACGCGAGTATTTCGTAAAATGTATTGCATGGTCCGGTACTGGAGTCCGTGCTTAGGGAGCTGCTAGGCGCCGGGCGATCTCAGTGACTGGATTAGGCCTTTCAGGCTGAACTAAACACCTTAGTGTTGCCATTGTTTTCCTTTCTGCCACGTTCTTACCGCTAAGCCGGAGCCGGCCTTAGCTGACCTCAGGGCAGCTATAGCATACAACACGGGATGGAAATGGGTAGGTTACGGGAATAGGTATCCTCATTGCAGGTGGTTTTGCGCTATATTCCAGGGGGGTTAGGTCTACAATTATGACACAGGGCAGATCCTCCCTGGAATTTAGCGCATAGCCACCTGGATTACTTGAGGAGGGGGTACCTGTCCTCGTGTCCAATCTGGGGATGTACCGTTTCGATGGCTTCATGCAGGTACTTTTTCTGCGAAATGCCAACAAGTCTCAGGAACGAATTAACATATTGCCTAACGCTTCAAACAGCCGTCTACAGCCTACTACTAGGGACTTGACCGACTAAATCGCCTGCGTTCTTACGAAGAGACCGGGCCCAGTCATCATCGTTTTCTTACAATATCTTTTGTGTCGCGCAAGCTGCCTACGTTCCGTCTAGTCAACGAGATGTCGGCGGTAGCATCTTTGCTGCGTAGGTTGAAACCCGAGCATTCTGATTATCGGGAAATCGACTAAAATTCCCACTTTCGGTAACTAAATCAGTACTTCCATCTGCTTCCCTTTTCGACTGCCTTGCACTCTTAAACCTACAAACATTGCAAAAAACGCCTGAATAAAGACGAGCGTGTTTGTTCCTATGGCGTGACTACCTACTTCACAAAAATCTTAAAACCATTGTGAAGTCTATTTTAGTGCAGCGCAACTAATGTTCCCTTGAATAGGCGAAACACTTCTAGGTGCATTTTTGGCACCTTCAGGATTCACCCACAGAATTCACCTCACACCCTTTCTAGCATTTGATTTTTTTACTAGTCAAAGTGCGTGAAAAATACAGAGGTTGGTGTTCTTGCATGTTGGGGTCAGAATCGTGGGGGAGGGTATTTGTACAGGTGGAGGGAGTGTAGTGGTCAACATTTGCACAGGAAACGACCCAAGGCCCGACTCTGGAGTCTGCATGAGGTGCCCACTTTTGTCAGAGCAGAAACCAGATCAGCGCGATCTGTCTCCGTTAACCTCGTGTAAGTGGCAGCCGCAATTTCGTTAATGATCTCGTGATCCGCGCCTACAGGGGGCAGCGGAGCCAGTCCAAGGACCACGCGCAGAGCCGCCGTCTGCTGTTTCACGCAATGGCTGGCCAGCTGAACAAAGAGGTTAGCCACTTGGTTCTGTCGTTTGTTCTGACTCGGCACGCGTAGCAGGAAAGCCAAGAGGCTGGCATCAAGATTGACCAAAAGAATGAGGTCCTCTTCTTGCAAGCGAGACAGAATGGAAGTGGTGAGCTGGCAACCCGCCTTGAAAGGCTCCGACTCCGGCAAGCAGAGACAGGCGAAGGCAAGGGCCGCGATCGAGAGAGTTGTGTCTTTTGTTGCTGCTGAGAAGAAAGAGGTCTCAACGGCCTGCCTCGAGTGGTAGTTGCAGACGGAGGGTCGCCAGCAGACAATTTTAGTAAGAAACACGGCATATTTCTGTAAATCTCCGGTCAGTTCGTGCATCATTGAGGCTAATCGCAGGGGGGCTAGGAGGTAGAACTGCCGGCCTTGCTCGACCCCCCGATTGAGCAAGTAGTTAGAGATTCTGGAAGTAATGACATTCACGACTTGATTACCGAATGTGATAGCTTGAGAATGATGTGAGCACGGACACCCACCAGCGGATGTCATGTGCTCGAACAACAGCCAACAGAGCGGCAAGCAATCGGCAATGCTCTCCTCGCGTGAGAGGCAACTGGCGCATACAAAGTCGTGTAGAGCAGTGATGAGCTCCACGTTAGACGAGACCTCTTCTTCATCAGCGCTGGACTCAATAGGAAGTGAGTCATGTTTGTCAGTTGGGCGAAACGCGGCCGATAGTGCAACTTTGCACAGCCAGGTGATCTGAAAAAAATATGGGATATTAGTTGAGGAAGCAGCGACAGCATGCCCTTTGAAGGGTATCGTATAGCACTTTTACTAACCATTTCCGACATTTCGGTGAGTACAGTATGGTCGTCGGCAGTCAAACGTTCCAGGAGTTTGAATATGCGGAGAGCAAGGGACTGGACTAGAGTGCGGGCGTGAGGTTGGTATGTGGAATGCAGGCATTCCTCTGCGTATAAGGGGAAACCTTCGTTGACGTCCGTGACTTCACCAACGCCCCGGAAGAATTCGCCAAAGGAACAGAGCTGGAGAGGAAGGCGTGAAATTTGTTGAGAAAAGTCAGACAGTAGGCTATGGACGGAGCATCACTATTTTGCTTCACTAACTGCCGACGAGAAAGAGATCTTCCCAAATTACTTTTCTGGTGCGCCTGTAAATTGCTTTTTACAAAGACTCCATTTTCCATTTCATAGGATTATGAGTATGCACGTTCAAAAATTGACCGAGTAACGGAAGGACTTTGCTCGTTGGTTGTTCGAAACCAGCAGAAAGGAGAGGGCGAGTGCCTAAATGACCTCTAAATGCACTAAAGATATGAAATTACAAATGGAAGACGTCCTTCGGGAGTTCAGGGTTTACTAAAATTATTAGCAACTCACTGCCGCACAAAATAGAAGGGGTAGTTAGCGTGCTAAACGGTGCAGTGGAGTAAGGCTACGCTCGGGACAAATTTATAGTTGGATGATAATACAGAAGCAGACAAGTGTATATGCTACATTCGCACACAGAAATGGCGACCACTAGGACTGGGTTGCTACTGAATTAATCGGTATGCCCCCCATCACAAACTTGTCAGTTTTCCAATATTCCACGTTTCAGTGTCGACACTGGTTGGTAACAGGAGGGTTTAAACAACTTCCCCACCGGTCATCCACATTTTTGGACACGTGATTACGACACGCATTATACAGTTTTCACAAAATCGACCTTACTCATTTACCCACAGTGAGCTGACGGCAGTCTCTGGGGGCGGATAAGTAGACGATTACTTTTCCCTGGTCTGTTACCTATTTAAAAAAACGTAAGTACGCCGGGGTCGGATGTACTGTCAGCGCCGGTTTGGCCTTGGAAGATGGGTAGCCAGTGTCCATAACTGAGAACCAGCGAGAAAGCGACCAAGATTGTATGGATAAGAACCGTCACCATTACCAACAATCACTGAACTGGTGGACTGGCTGAATGTGTACGACCCTATCTACCTTTGGGATCGTGATTTTTGTGTAAGGAACGGATGAGTACAGTTTTGGGTTAAAAACGCCCTTTGAAACAACAATTTTCCCCGAAGACGAAAAAAGTACTTGTCGGAGCCCTGTGACTGCTGGAATAACAGACTGCAAAGTACAGCTGACTCTTAACGAGCGTAGTTGACATTGGTGTGATGCAGATCAGCTGCCGCAAGGGCATACACCGGTGAGGATGCTTTCAGGGATTATGACTGGACCGTCTACTGGTTGACCGAGACACTAGAGCAGGGACAACAGTATGTCTATTATGTGGGGGTGCTTAATTAAGCAACTGACCATGGCTTACACCTCTGTGAAGGTGCCGATAGCGTTCAAAGAGCATTAGGACGCAAGGCCATAATACAGATCCGCACAAGCAAAGTAGACACGTACTTCACCCCCAGCGCCTACAACCCTTACTCGAAAGCGTGAGTCATATCACTCGTCGGTCAGTGTCTGACCTTACCGTAGTAAGTATTTCCAACAACTGAGTCGAAGAACCTCCAAAGGCCCGGGAATTAACCATCGACCATGCTGTCATCCAGTCTAATTTCCCTTCCGCAGGTTGAAGATACTTTTTTGCCTGTGTGGTTTCTTCCAGGCGGGCTGAAATAAATAAAATAGGAGTTTACGCATTTGCACACCTGTAGTGCAGGAAATAGTGCATTTCAAACGGCGACGCCACACAGCCTAAACAGACTTATTCGTCTGTCGCGCACGAAGAAGACTACCAATGTCACAAAGGCAGGAGCAGTGGCTTCGGTGTGGTGTGGATTGCGATAAGGGAGGTTTATGCAGCAATGGTCTTCTCCATCCCCACTTATAATGTCTTCAAGAAACACGCCTGGGGATGGGCGTGGGTGCAGTGGCTAGCCAGACATAGACCGCACATGCTTCGGCGGTGTCGACTCATCATCCAAAGAGGCAGGCCTTACGCTGGTCCCAAAGCGGTGGAAGTTTCCAGAAAACCATACTAAGGGGTCATTGTGACCCTGCTAGCAATTTTTGAGGACTGGGTTATCCCTTCAGTTGGAAAAGTCCTAAGGCGTCAGGTTTGCTATCA